GTCTCCTCTTGCTAACTTAGGGCCCAGCACTATCCGGCCTGACCAAAGAATCATATTACACATGAAAGCAACGTTCCAGTGCCAGCAGCAGTGAGCAGATGGTAATACTGTCTCCTGTTTCCCAGTCCTTGAAACAAATCTTACAGCTGTTAAATGATTATGCCCAGGATGCCCATCCTGCAGACATGAAGTCTGGAGTTTGTCCTCTTGTAGCTGATGGATGTAGTTTTGTTGGTCAGAGCATGTGACCAGCAATGGAGGTAGCAGTAAATAAGGGGTCATGGCTGCTGCATATTGAAAACGACCCCAGCCTAAGAAGAGGAGAGTGAAGAATAACAGAAGGTGCATCTTGAGGATGAGGAAAAAAACTTGGACCAGAAGCAGCCACTGTCTCCTGATAGCCCCAACTGCCATAGAGTGAATGACTGGGAATTCTAGAATTCTACTCATCACTGGGCAACCAGTATCCATGCTTCCCAGCTCATCAAAATAAAAATAAAAATCTCCTCCCTTGATCATAGTACCTGAACAGCAGCAGTTCCCTAAGGTCTCAGGAAGATGGTTTTAAGAAGCTGTTTCTTAAAACCCCATAAATTCATCCTCCTCAGAGGAGGAAGAATGAAAAACACTACATAATTTCTCTGATGGCTGAAGTAATTCCCCACTCCAGTTTTTGGAATTGTGCCCCAGGCACTTCAGAGGACGCTGCAGCCTTTTGCTGAGGGAGAGGAGAAGATTTTATCAGGTCGCCCTCTTCTTGATTCTATCTCAGCACAGCATGCCTTTTTCTGCAAGCACAATGTCTCTGCAGCACAGTCTATATGCTTAGACTCCTGCACTGCTTTCCTTGGACCCACAAGAGGGTTCAGGTACTGTTGCTGCCACCATCTCCTGCTCTGATCTCCTTCCTGGGTACAGAAGAGGAATAACTCAATAAAATTGCCCTTCAGCAGGGCTGAGGCTAGATATGCACCTGTGCCAGGAGCCAGGGCACAAGGCCACCAACCACACAGCAAGCATTTTGGGTGGGAAACTGCAGGCAAGCAGTAGGACTACTCTGAGGCTCCCCCCCCCCCCCGTCATGTCCTCTGATCACTCCCACCCGATAGCAGCAGCAAGGAAAGGGAGAAAATGAAGAAAGGTTCTTTGTAATTTCATAAAGTTTTAGTGGAAAAAATAGCTGCAGAAGGAAACTAAATGTAGGTGGGGGAAGGCGCACAGCCACTCTGGAGGGTGAGGAGAAGGGCTGTGAGGGAGCTCAGGCAGAATAATCAGTAAGGCAGATAAGGCTAAAGTCAATTAGAACAAAGATAAGATCAGGAAATAAAAAGGCCCAAGTACTGCAGAGCAAATAAAAGGCAGAGAAGAAAGCTGGAGATGTGCTGGCCCACTTCTCAGAAATCTCTGCTCCTTCCTTGTCATGTGACCAGGGATATCACCCGACCCAGTGCCTGAATGACACCAGAAATAAATATGCCATTTAAAAAAAAAATTTAAAAGACCCAACGTGCAGCATTGATAGAACAAGTTAATTGTAAGTAGTCAACTGCTGCCTCTGCTGGGGTTAGGTGGGATTGCTGAATGTTGATTGTTGCTTCGTGTTTCTCATATAAATAAGTGGAAATAATAAAGTATTTGTGGGGGGACCCATTTGAGAATACTGAGGGATGGGGCTTGCCTTATCTAATGTGGGACTGAATCCCATAACTCTGGGGCCACTGCCAAAATGGCCCTGTTCCATGTGCCCAACAAGCTTTTTATCTTTATTTGAAGACATCTCAACGGGGCCTCCAAGATCATAGAGTACACATAGGTTGATACAGCTGCAGGCAAAATGTAAGGTAACCCAGCCCAAACCATTCAGGGATTTAAAGGTAATCACCAGGACTTTGAATTGGGTCTGGAAATACACTGGTACAATATGTATTCTGACCATCTGGGGGTGGCTGGCACTATGGTCTAAACCACTGAGTCTCTTGGGCTTGCCGGTTGGAAGGTCAGCAGTTCGAGTCCATGCAATGGGGTGAGCTCTCATTGCTTTGTCCCAGCTCCTGACAACCTAGCAGTTTGAAAGCATACCAGTGCGAGTAAATAGGTACGATTGCAGCAGGAAGGTAAACAACGTTTCCATGCACTCTGGCCCTTGCCACGGTGTTCTATTGCGCCAGAAGTGGTTTCGTCCTGCTGGCCACATGACCTGGAAAGCTGTCTGCGGACAAACGCCGGATCCCTGGGCCTGAAGCCCAATGAGGCCTGCACCCCATTGTCAAATTTGACTGGACTCAACCATCTAAGGGTCCTTTACCTTTACTTCTGACAATCTGGCTCCAACCAGTAGACAGATGGCTACAATTGCGTCACCTGAAATTTCTGGATGATCTTCAAAGGCAGCTGCCTGCAGAGTGCCTTACAGTAGTCTAGCCCCCATGGATAACTGGGGCAAAGTCCACTCTCTCCAGATAAGCTGGATAAGGACCTAATTGGACCCTAAGCTGGTAAAAGCTGCCCCTGGCCTCTATCACCACCTAAGCATTCCCAGTTAGCGCTGAGTCCACTGAGTTCTACAAAGGACAAACAGGCCAGTCTCTATACAAAAGAAAGAATGAATACAAATTTAAAATCAGGAAAGGCCTGGGTAGCTCAGCTGGTTAGAGTGCGGTGCTGATAACACCAGATTCGCAGGTTTGAGCACCATATGGGGCAGCTGCACATTCCTGAATTGCAGGGGAATGGATGGTCCTCAAGGTCCCTTCCAACTCTGCAATTCTATGATTCTAAGGCAATACTGAGCAGCCCTATTTAGGATCCACTCTGCTCACCCAAAAAGGGAAAGGGCTAGAAAAGGTGCTCTAAACACAGTCTGCCTCCCTTTTTCTCTGACTGGATTACCGAGCCCTGAAGGGTCACCACCCAGCAGTCATAAAAGACAATTGAACTTTGGAACTGGAATATACAGACTTTGTTGGATAACACAGAGAATGAGAATCCCGAGCACAGGACTGCCATCACTGCAAGAGAGTTGCAACGTTTTAACATTGATATTGCAGTGCTTCAGGGTTAGCAAAATGCTTTTTTTTTTTTTTTTGCATTTTCCTGCATCATCAGGACTATGAAACATTTCAATTAAAGCAAGGCTTTTCTAAGGTTTGCGCTTGTTTATTTTGCTTTGCATGACCTGCAATATGTATTTGTATCTTGCTCTTCCACCAGGAACTCCAGGTTATATGCATTATTCCCTCCACCTGTTATCTTTGCAACAGCCTTATGAGGTAAGGTAGGCTAAGTTCTTGCCATAGATCAGAGCTTTCCAAACTGTGTGTTGCAACACACTAGTGTGTTGGCTGCAGTGTGTGGGTGTGTCGTGCAAATGTTCCCCGAGCTCTTATGGATTAGTTTAACCTCCAGTTTGCTAGTAAAACTGAATTGCTGTGTCATGAAATGATGCAAGTCTAAAAAGTGTATCACCACCATGAAAAGTTGGGAAAACTCTGCAATAGATTGTGGTGTCTGCTATGTGTGAGCAGAGGAAGGCAATCTACAAAGAGTTTATTGGGCCCCCAAAATCCTGTCGGCATTCCTGCTCTGAAGCAACATTTAGTTGTCATAACCAACAACCTCCCCGCCCCCCCCCAAAACTTCAGCTACACAACCTTAAATTGCTGTGGCCCAAGAACAATACCTTTAGCTTCATTCACTCCACTCCCCATTGCCATCAAATGTGTTGTGCTTTTCTTTTTTCTTTTTAACATTCGAGTTTTATGTGTGATCCAGCAGCTAAAGTAATGCGTAAGGTGTTACGGGAGAGGCAGTACCTCTGGTGGGGGGCATGTTGTGCTCCTTCTGGTGTCGTTACCCTGCACTTAGCTCTCACCTGGGGCTCCTAGAAGCTGCCAGCGTGTGACAGAGGACACACCCCAACTGGCTGGCTAAAACAGGTGAGGGTAGGCAATGGGTCTCAAACCCTTGGTGAGTTAGGAACTTTCTCTGAAAGCAAAGACAGCTTGTAACTCCTTCAAAAAAGGAAATGTGATCTGTCTGACAGGACTTATTTTTGAGAAACCCATGCTGGGTCTTAGTAGTCACAGCATCTTTTCCTAAATGCTCACGGAAAGACCATTTGATTATCTTTTCTAGGACCATTCCTGGTAGAGTGGTACCTCGGGTTCCATACGCTTCAGGTTACATACGCTTCAGGTTACAGACTCCGCTAACCCAGAAATAGTATCTCGGGTTAAGAACTTTGCTTCAGGATGAGAACAGAAATTGTGCAGCAGCAGCGGGAGGCCCCACTAGCTAAAGTGGTGCTTCAGGTTAAGAACAGTTTCAGGTTAAGAACGGACCTCCGGAACGAATTAAGTACTTAACACGAGGTACCACTGTATTGATGTCAACCTCACCGGTTCTTCCTATTTTCCCTTAAGCATGAAAGGAGTGATTTGCTGTTGTCTTTTGAACCTATGTTTTCTTAGTGTTAAGTAGATTTATACTTTAGCAGAGCAACTTGTAAAATTTGGGAGGCTGAATTCAAGTCTCATAATCAGGTATCAAATCTTATCATCACTGCACAGTACAGCTGCTTCACATGGCTCCTATCACTCTGCCACTGGGTATGGAAACATCTGCCATTGCAGGAAAAGGAAGGAAGAGCACCCAGCCAAGCCCTCAGGGACAGAATGAAAGGGAGTTGGCGCAGCCACAACAGCAGGGGCAGACTTAGGGGAGCGCAATCCGTTTGCTCGCACTGGGTGCTGAGCCAAGAGGGGGTGCAGGGGGTGCTGCAACAATGATAAATAGCAGAAGGCAAAGTGGGGGCACCAACATTTGGCACCACACAAGGCGCCACTGAAATTTTAAAGCCCAAAGTCCACCTATTCCTCTCCAGAGCAATACTGTGTGTCAGTCAGATGGGTAGAAGCAACCTTATTTTAATTATGTTTTGTTATTTTATGTAAATTAAAGAAATAAACACAATTCAAGGAGGAATTGTCAAAGACCAAAACTTTGTGAAACCTATAGAATTTATTCAAATGAGCAGGAAAAGTTAACACTGAAGGGATGTTTACTATGGTTTCATTAAAGAAGAAAACCCCACCCCACTTTAACTTCTTAAACATCAAACATATATTGTGCAATAACAGTGGAATTCTTAAGAAAAGGTGTAGACTAATTGTATGAACAAACACTTCTAACTACATAGAGTAACTATTTTGTGTTAACAACTAGGTAATGTTAAACTAAGACACCTGGATGCAGCCACAGAAAACTGGCTTCCTGGAAAATGATGAAATTTGAGTTTAAAACTCAGAGAGGAAGGCATGCATTTCTATTTCATTACCATCAAAAGTTTCTATATATGCAGTGAATCTTGCCTGCTGGTTATCTCTGGTTATCACTCATCTTTATTTGGAAAACTTTGGAGCTGTTGAGGTAAATTTGTGGTAGGGATACAGGCTGGATAATAACCACAATTCAGCAGCTGTGTGCCAGACACATCCCCAAGGCTTCCCAAGCATAGCAACATCTATTTCACATTTAACTGGTCAGTTCCCCATCTTTTTAGAGGTTCTCACTCCTGTGCAGAAACATGTGCATGCTGAGAAGTTCCTGAAATTACTGAATCAGTGTATATTTAGAATGTATATGTTCACTGATAAGTCTTCTGCCAGTAATTATGGAAATCACTAGAGATATCAGAGATGGGATCACTGAAAGGTGACTGATATGTTACCTTAACGCAAGTTTGGGTATTTGGATGATATAGCAAGAAAATGTATAAGAAATGTATAGGAAAACATGGCAGAAATTAATCAATTTCTTATCAATCTCTTTTTCAAACTGGAAGGTAAGCTATTTATCAATTATTCTATTATTATTCTTCCTTTTTAAACTGTTGCACATAGTTTTTTCTTTGTTTTCCATACAGCATTCTGTTAAACATGACTGTCCGTGTTGTGGTCCGTTTACCAGTGGTCACAAAAACCCATGCACTATAGATCTTTTGGATCACAAAATCCATCATTTCAGCTTCATGTGCATGTTCTGGATAGATAGATCTCTTTGCCTCCGTATAAGCAGAGATCATAATAGCTTGCAATAAATTGAGGATAACACAAATCATCACAAACAAAAAGGAAGTTAAAAAGAGACCTGCCAGAAACCTATCAGCTGCAAATTCAGTGCCCCTAAATGCTAAGGCACAGTAAGATAACACAGTAGTAAAGGAATAAAGCAAAGTACGGTAACTTTCTTCATGTTGGCCAAATCCTAAATACCCAACTGACATATATGCAAAAAATAAAATGGCCCCTCCTACAGACAAGTTAGTAATTGTAGGAAGAGCTTCAAACAATGACTTTTGGGCCAAGCGAACATCAAACATAAACCTGAGATACCGGTATGTTTTCATAACTAGGAAAAAAGCCAATAATGCCTTAATTGTTCTGACAACTCGATCAAAATGAGCAGCTGCATGGAAGGGAATGAATTGTTCTTGATTATACAAATAAAACTGCATTAACTCAAAAGCAAGCTTCAATCTGAATAGAATCAGCAGCAAAAAAATTAGACAGAATGTCTTAATTCCAAAATTAATTAAATTGGCAGCTGTTTTTATATAATTCAGCCTTTCTTGACGCAGCATGCGATATTCATCCACAATATAAAATATAAGTATAGCTACAATACATAAAAATAAGAAAACTTGACTACTGGTTTGGTCAGCTAAAAGTGGGAGCTTATAAGAATGAACTGACACACTGCTGACAAGAGGGCCAACATATGAAAATTCAAATATGACAGAAATACTGCAAAACAGATCTGCATCTGGATTAAAAGTGGTCAGCTCAATAATAGTTACCCACGTCCTGTGATCAAGCCAGGTGTTCCTTTCCAAAGTCTTCAATCTTTCTGTTGAATTTATTTGTGGTTCTCCTGTGAAAAAATAAAAGCTGTATCCTCTGGATGGGTAGCTGTTTAATTCTCCATATGACTCATATTCCCACTCAGCAATGCTTTGTTCATAAGTGTAGCCTGAAAAGCTGGTGGGGTTAGCAGCTGGACGATTGACTGGAGCTGACCATGACCCATTGTAGTCAGCTTGATCTTCTGGGTCACCTCCATATCGGTGTACACAGTGAATATCCGTCAGAAATGCTTTTTGAAAGCTATGTAAATAGGTACATGCCCTGTCAGAATGTATACCTCTTATTTGTCTCATTCTGGGCGACCCAAGGACTTTGGACCAGGTCTCTGAAAGATAGGTTGGTTGATAGTCATTGTGTATCAACGGCAGAAGGATATTTTTCACCCATTTGTAAATATCTTCTACTTTATTTACTTCAGATAAACCAAGAGAAAATTTCTTACGCATAAATCGATTGTAGTGAAAGCTACTGGTGGTTTCTGTAGGATGAGTATACTTTAAAATTAAAGCTAAAAAGACAAAGTGACAGACCATATTTTTTGCTAAAATATAACCTAGACTCTTAAGAGTTGCTTTCTTCCTCAATATTATAAGCTCTTCGCCTTTAATTGGTTGGTATTTCTTTGAAGCTCTAAGTTTGACAAGGTTATCATGTAACTGTCTCATCTCGTTTGCAGGGATAGTTCTATCATTAAACTTAAGATCTTGGTATCTTGTCCATGGGATATTTCTGCAGTATTTTGGATAAATGGTATTCCAGGCTGTAAAAAAAACGACCTTAAAGGTCTCAAGGAAAAGCACAGTTAGGCAAAATGAGGTAATGGAAGCTATTAACCACTCAAAAGAGGTTTTAGTGGAATAGGATTGGCCAAGTAGTACAATGAAGAATGAGAGCACACCAGATACAGAAAGCACAATGATCCAGGCGATGTATAGAACCCACCAAGTAGACTGTGGTTTGTGTATTTTCTCAGAAAATGTTTCATTTTCTGTTGCGACATTATTGCTGGAATTGGTGTCTCTGTGGGGGAATTGCTGGGACTTCATCTCTGAGGGTGGAGCAGCTTTTAAATTGCCTTCTTCACAAAGGTTTTCAGATGAAAAGGAGGAACTTCCTTTTGGGTGAGCTTGAGCTGCGTTCCAGGCTGAAAGTTTCTTTGATAAATGCTTAAACAAGGTTACCAGAACCAATTGCACAGGAACTGAAATCAAAGAACTTTCTATTCCAATTGTTATAGATCTCAAATACTGTAGTTCTACTGAATAAATATATTGATCAATATCGTTGAAGAATATAGTGTTAAACAGCAGGGAGCTTAACAGTATTGCTAAGCAACAAGTCAGCCTGAGGAATCTGCTGAAAGAGTCATCATCTAAATGAACAACGACAGACAGCCAAAGATGGTTCTTGAACAGGTCATTGCTAATCATAATACAAAAGTAATCAGTCTTGCTTAAGGGTACACTGGGATTTGTAACAGTAAATGACCTTTCTATTTGGCAATCATCCCTGCCAGGATCAAACCATTTCCTACATATAAATAGCCATGACTGTTTAGTATCCATGTTTTTTACTTTGATTCGGCTTAAGAACCAGTTAGGACCAAAGCCATGATTATTGCGCCAGATATGAAGAGAACAAATGTTTCCTAAGTCTCTCTCAGTAGTTAAGAGAAAGGTGTCAATGGATCCGTCCTGAAAGATCCCTGGGAACTGTGGATGTTTTAAATGATGTACATCACTGGCCCCATTTTGGCCAATCAGTTCAATGAAGACATCAGCATTGGTGCCTGATCTTAAACGACTTCCTGTGTATATTGTGACTAGATACCTCACCTCGTGAAAGGGATCATTGTCTGGCAAATCTATGACCTGATCCCTGATGCCAGCTTTATCTTTTCTTATGACCCAGATAGCCAAAGAGATGTAGATTATAAAAATAGCAAGAACTGTCAACCCTGTTACAGGATTTTGGCCACTCAATGCTAAAAGGAACCTTTTCATATCAACTTGATTGGGAAATAAAAGTACTTTGGCAGCCAAAAATTGGATACCAAGTCCTGAGGTCCTTGATGGCCTGGGGTTGGCTGTTCTTCTGCTACGCTCTTTTGCTTTACAGATGCAATGTATTTTGGAATAGGTGGTCTGAGGGCCAAGATGGCAACTCCCTTCTTTCCATTGGTTCTGAATTCCATCCAGGTCTAGGCAGGCTGCTGCAAAATGAGCAATGCGAACTATCTTTGTGGTTTGGTCTCTGACAATTGGATGTGATTGTAAGACAACAGAGATATTCAGTCTGTCTGCTCTATTGCTCTGGAAAAGAGACCAAAGCAATGACTGAGGAAGACAAAGGATATATGGAGCCTTAACTGCACAATCAGTGACATTAGTATCCATTTTAGTTGGTGTAGGAGGACTGGAATGGGAAGCAGCATACACAGCTACAGGGGGGTGGCTGATATTGTGGCCTAGGTATATAAAGACATGAAAAGTAATATTTATTTTAGACACAATCTGGATAAAAATATCTTTGGAGCTTCTTTTTACTTCAAAACTAAAGCCACCAGTTGTTTTAGGGAGATTTTTGTCTGGTCCTATTGTCAAGTCAAAGATGGCCTCCTCTTTTCTAGCCATGATCATTTCAACCACATGAGGTGTGATACTGATTACGTCACCGTTAGCTTTGGTTCCTGTCATTTTTAATCCAGTCACCATTGTTCCAATATCTTCTGTATAAAGCAACCATGGAAAGGGATTTCTGTCAAATTCATAAAGAACAGTGGATACCACAGCATCTACCTGTAATTCAGCATGATTACTCTTTTTCAGTTCAGTATAAAAGCAGTTCCTGCAATATTGTCTGTCAGAGAAAGTTCCTGAAACATCCCATTTCTCATCTTTCCGTAAATGCATGGCCCAGATTTCAGTCTCCATGTTAGTTTCTTGCTCCCCAGGGACTTTACCTTGTAAGACTAGATCTGCTAATATTTCTGTCACTGAAATGGTTTCTTTAATTGCATTGGCATTGACATTTCCATGGTTCAAGAGAGAAGCGCTCAACACACTGGACAACCCGATAAATATACCATTGCCAAGGATCTCTGCTTCCTTAGAACCTAAGTCTTTGGCCCTGAGCCTTTTTAGAGCTTCACTGACCTCTCTTAGTTTTCTGACTGCAAGCAGTTGTGATTCCCTGTTTACTTCAGTAGTTTCATGTGTTACCTGACAAATACTCAAAATCACTTGGGTTATTTTCAGAACATCAGTTGTAGGTATCCTCATAGTTATATTAAGAAGGATTTGTCGCAAATCAGTTTTAGAGCCTTGATTGGTTGGCAAAGTCTCTATATTATTTAATACAGAGGCCACCATATATACAAAATAACCTATATTAAAGTAATCTTTAGCTGCAAGCAAAGTTGTCATAGCAGCGGTTGGTCCACTGATTAAACCATGTAGATCATGCTGAACAACACGAGTTGGTTTATTTTTTCTTTGATCATACACAGTTGCTTGTAATATTACCTGAGAAGATGCTCCAAGGGCATCATACACTTGAACATATATGATTAAGGTAGAGTTCTGAGATGGTATACCAACTGGAAGAAAAGAACGAGGAGTTTTAGGCTCATGACCAGCATACACTATTATTCCCAAAACATTATTCTCTACTGAAGATACGGCACCGGTTTTGATTTGATTTGATGATGCTATCACTTTATATGTAAGAGGTCCATTTTTGTCTTCAAATCCACTGCACTGAATGATGAATTTTGTTAGGAATGCCATGCCTATCTTTGGATTGATAACACACTTTCCTATCTGAGGTGGGCCATTCACATAAAAAGAATATTCGTAGATGGCTGACTGTCCTTCCTTTGTGGTGACTTTCAGACTAAATGTAAATGACTGCTCTGCCATGGATACAAATGCATAAGCATTTATATGCAGATATGGATTGGATCTTCCAGTTGCACTTTTTGAAGACCAATCAAAATTTATTTCACTGGACTGTGCTGAGTAAAGTGACCAGTAATAGAGAGATTTGCCACTTCTGCAATTTAGGCATTTGCCAGAAAGACAAAATCTTTCTGTTGGAATTACTGACTCACCACAATTTTCAATACATGTGACATTTAGGATTATGGCAAGAGGAGCTTGCACATGTACTATTTGTTCCGTCTGAGCTATTCTGCTACCATTTTGAACCACCAGGCGAAAATAATACACATTATTTCCTTGAAGTGTTTCAGGTTGCACTCTTTGAACTGGAACAGAGCATGTTATCCATTTTAAATCTACCTGATCTGGATGACATTTCCCGTTTTCACTTAGAGTCATTGATGTGTAGTCTGTTTTTTGTTTGCTGCAATACCACGTAAAGGACAGCCCTTTAGAGGGTTGGACTGCCTCACCATTGTAGTATGCAGATCCATTAAGTATCCACTCATCAGAAAATCCAACTGTCCGGATACTGCCTCCAGCAATGACAGCCACAAAGGTATCTGATCCAATCTTGACAAACAGTGAATCAGATCCTTCCATGCTCTTCCATGTATCCAAAGAGGTTAAATTCATTGTAAAATTAAAGAGATACAAGCCATTATCTAAGACAGGACCAGGTACTTTTAATATGGTGGAATTTCTTCTTCCAATGCTAGGTGGATTAAAAGGTTTTGACCAATCTGGTGTAGTAGTCAGATCTGGAACTTTATAGATGTTCCAAATGACATTTGTTTGATTAGGACCTGGACAAGTGATACGTGTATCAGCATCCAGAGTAAACTCTGTTCCTTGGGTATAATACACCACACGCTGAGAAGCGTCTGGCTTCTGGATACTAATTTCCTTAATAGAACAGGGTTTTTGATGGCAAGCTATGCTAAATCTGAGGGCCTTTGAAGCATAAGTGTTGACTGTGGCTTTTAAAATAGTTGGCATAAGTCCATTTCCAATGCATTTCACCTTTGCTACAAAACCAGTGAAGAGGGCAGAGTTGAAAGTTAAGAAAGAATCAGAAATGAATTGCATTGCATTTTTGACATGATTTATGTAGGTGAAAGTATAGTTCTGAACTGGGTACTTGCCTCTAGAATCAAAAAGTTGAAGGTTGAAGGTCCACTCACACTGTAGCAGTGGATGTTGCACAGGAATAAACCACACAATAGAGACCAAACTGTCTTCAGGAGAACTGTTATTGAAAACGTGAACTTCAATATCTTTTTCTCCTAGAGACCTGAACAAAGTCCCTTTCCGATTCAGATACACATGGATGCTGAACTTGGACAATTGCAGCTGCATGAATTCAACAATGATCAGGTAACAGAGGCTCTGCTCCTCGTAAAAGATATAGTGGGAGCTGTAGCCCTTCCTAGTGGTGGTAGTAGTGCTGTCTTCCTGTGTAGAATAGTACAATCCCAGTGTATGGCTAAAAATGTAGATGCCTCTTCTGGTTTTCTGTGGATTGAGTGTGAGATAAGTTGCGGCTCCAGTGCTTGCTCTGAAAATCAAAGTCTCATTAAAGAAATCAAGTTTTCCTGCCAGTTGTTCAGGCATCTTCTCATTAGTACGAAAATAGACACTGGCCACCACCTTCTCCTTGGAGTGATATGGTATGGGAACGGCACAGAAATTGCTGCGTAGAGCAAAATGGTTGTAATTGTAGAAGTGAGACCACTCTCTTGTATCACGCGTGCTTAATAGTTTATAAGCTACTATTCCTTGGCTGAGCTGTAGAAGACTCCAGGAAAGGCTGATTGTCCCATGTGGGTGGCTCAGCAATCTGGAATGTACACTAAAGACATGCAACAGGGCAGGCTCCACATATAATTCTATGCTAAGGCTGATCAGAGGTCGATGCTGAACACTGACTGAAGCGGTATAGAATCCACGATGGGGGTAGCATACAGTCAGGTGGTAGCTATAGTACGATGCGCAGACCTGGTACAATTCTGCATTAGGGTAGCCAGCGAATGGAAGTGGTTCACTGTGCTGGTTGCTGGGAATGAGGAGATCTTCTGGACTACCCCCTCGGCTCCTGAAGCGATAGCTCCATGAGGAACTCTTAAGGCGTGCGCACCAACCCAGGTGCACTGGCTGCCATTCAAAAACTGGAAGGGTGCGTGGCCAGAGCAGGAAAAGTCGGACATCTTGCCCGGTAACCTCAATGCTCAGGTTGTGGTGAAAGCACAAGGGGGCAGAGCACAAAGTTGATGTACACTGTACTGTGATCCGACTATAAGCCCATGGTGGATAGGGACCTTCCCCTGGCAGGCCTGGACCCAGCACCAACTCACCTAGCCAGTTCTCTGTACTGTTTACCAGGATGGAATCTCGGTACCAGTGGCAATGAGGAGCGGGTTGTAAGTCTGTCTCTCTCTTTTTAGAATTCACTCCTTGTGCTCTTGAGTAGCACAATTCAATGTATTCATCCCACAGACATGAAACCTGGAGTTCGTTATCTTGACGTTGATAAACACGATTTTCTGGCTTTGAACAAGTGACTAACAATGGTGGTGGAAGGAGATCAAGAGGAGCTGCCACTCGGTATTGCAAGCAACATGAACAGCAGAAGAGGAAGACATGACATAAAAGGTACCTCATCATTGACAGGAAAAAGAAACCTGACTCAGTAGTAACAGTTATCTCCTAGCAACAGCACAAAAAGAAAGTCTGCATGGATTCTAGAACCTTTCTGCTGTTGCCTTAGGCAACTCATGCCCATTTTCAATGTGGCCACAATAGTCCTTGTCTTCTTCTGTGGTTGAATCCCACACTCCTCTTCATAGTCCTCACGTATCACATTACCCTGGATTTGTATAAACCTCTGTTATTGCCACGTTGCCCAGATGTATCTATTACAATTTTAATGGAGAATATTTGGTAGGACTTTAATTTTGAAAAGGCAATGACTGTGATAAAACTGGAGCTTGACTGATTATTTCCCAGGATTATATTCCATCTAAATAGCATGTATGCTTATCTCTATATCTTATGAATCCCATAAGCACTGGAAATCCCAGATCTTGAATTTTCTCTGTAAATTACCCCATGAGAGATGGGAACATATTACAACTGCTACCTGTTGGCTTTTGGGTAAAAGATGCCTCTCTTTTCTTTCAAGCCAACTCTTCCTATGGAGTCTTTGGCAGAACCACTGAGTACACAACACATCACACAGAAATTTAGCCTAAATAACTTCTCCTTTCCCCCTTCACCTCCCCCTCCTTCAAGTTGAATTTATGTCATGCACATTAATGATACTATTAAAAAGGTAAAGGTAAAGGGACCCCTGACCATTAGGTCCAGTCGTGACCGACTCTGGGGTTGCGGCGCTCATCTCGCTTTACAGACCGAGGGAACCGGCGTACAGCTTCCGGGTCAGGTGGCCAGCATGACTAAGCCACTTCTGGCGAATCAGAGCAGCGCACGGAAACACCGTTTACCTTCCCGCTGGAGCGGTACCTATTTATCTACTTGCACTTTGATGTGCTTTCAAACTGCTAGGTTGGCAGGAGCAGGGACCGAGCAATGGGAGCTCACCCCATCGCAGGGATTCGAACCGCCAACCTTCTGATCGGCAAGTCCTAGGCTCTGTGGTTTAACCCATAGCGCCACCCGCGTCCCATAATGATACTATTAGAGGTCACTATTAGAATGAGTAAGTGGTAAAAATGGTGATATTTAAAACATGTATACCTCAGCTTTCCACAGGAATGGAATTCAAAGGCAGTTTACAAAAAAGAACAGCCTATAATGAAATCTCAAAAATAAGGAATTAAAATACAGAACAAATGGCTTACAAATACACTGTCTGGGATAGGCCAGATTTACAGAAGCCCAAGGAATACATAGAGATCAACCACAAACTAAACAACTCTACATATAGTTTACAAAAACTCATTAACAGTAATATACAGCATTCCAACAGTACTATACAGCATTTCAAGTCCATGAGAGAAACTCTCTGTGTGTAGACTTGTGCTGGTGCACTTCCAATGGAACTCTAACAACAAGGTACCCAGATTTCAATCTCTGTTTCGTGAATCTGTATATTACTATTAACGAGTTTTTGTAAACTATATACTGTACAGAGTTACAGTGGTACCTCGGGTTACATACACTTCAGGTTACATACGCTTCAGGTTACAAACTCCACTAACCCAAAAATATTACCTCGGGTTAAGAACTTTGCTTCAGGATGAGAACAGAAATCGCGCACCAGCGGCGTGGCAGCAGCGGGAGGCCCCATTAGCTAAAGTGGTGCTTCAGGTTAAGAACAGTTTCAGGTTAAGAACGGACCTCTGGAACGAATTAAGTACGTAACCAGAGGTACCACTGTATTTAGTGTGAGATTTACAGAAGCCACTGTGGCTTCTGTTTGAAATCAAGGGTGTCTTGCTTCCGCTGTCTTGCCACTGCCTCCTCCAATGTGGCAGCCATGAAAGCTGCCGCGGCCTCCATGGCGGCCTCCACTGCACTCCCGGAAGCGGGGACAGCACATCTAGAAGCACACTTCTGGAAATGCATGCACCACTTCCGGCAGCCACGGTGAGGCCGCAGTGAGGCCAAGGAGACCACAAAGAGGCTGAGGAGGCTGAGGTGATGTGGGGACAGGGGGACAGCATGATGCGGGAAAGGGGATGCCCCAGATTTGGGTGAGGAAATGTTGGAGGGTATGGCAGTGGAGAGGTGCAAGTGGAGGTTTAAACCTCACAATCCTGGTGCACTTAGGGTGAGTGCACACGTGACAGACTATGGCTATGTACATAACAGAGTATTAAAGCACATACACAGATCCGATTTTTCCATGTGCACTTTTGTGCACGCCTTCAGTTGAACTCTATCTCAAGATTTTCAATCCACACTAGTGGGTAGTGCTTGATGGAATGTATTCACACTGTTTGTCTCCCCATCCCCTCAATTACTACTTCCTATCCTCCCAGAGGGTTCTATGGGATGTTAGGTGAAAAACAGTGCCTCTAGTGGGGGGCATGTTGTGCTCCTTCTGGGGTAGTTTGTCCTCCCTTGGTCCCCACTCTGTGGCTCTTAGAAGCTGTCAGCATGTGACAGCGTCCACACCCCGGGAAACAGCCTGACTGCCAGCTAAACCAGGTGCAGGTAGCCTATGAGCCTCACCTGCATGCGAAGACAGGCTCCGGCAGATTGAGCAGACGAGACCAATTGTGGGTCCAATAGTCAAGAAGGCAGCTTCTGCACATGCTATAGAGGGAAGTGTGAGGCTGGTCAACCAAGGAAGATAGCTCATCTAGGAGAAGGAAAACTGATAGTAAACAACCGCTGCTTTGCAGAATATCTTCAGGGGAAGAAAAGGCTAAGGAATAAACCCTACACGAACTAGGAGTGAAGTTCCTAAGATGGTTGGATGGCACCTTGTATACCTCCTTTCAGCAACTCCTGCAGCCAAGCTGGTGCTAAACGCATTGCTCTGCTTTCTTTTGGACCATATCACCGAGGCCAAGAAGGAGGTCTTGTCTGGGCAGCCCAGGACCTCCATATGCACTGCTCAAGCCACTTTGGTGCTGTTGATGCAGCAAAACATGGGAGGCAGCAGTTATGAGCAAATGCTGTGATTCTTCAACAGTTTGACTTTGCCCCCAGAGGCGCACTCCACTGTCTCTTCAGACAGACAGATGGCAACAACAACAAACAACAAAATCCTCTGAGATTTCTGGAAACCCAAGGTCCCTTGTGGGCATGTGCACAAGTATTTGTTTACCTGTGCATTTAGCCATTCATTCATTTATGAGATACAAGTTTTCTGATATGCCAGACTTGGAAGAAAATAGCCAGTTGTCTTTTTTAAAAAGTGTGATCCTGTGCTCAGTCTCACCAGCAGCTCACCAGGAATGCCTCACCAATGAAAGTAGGGGAGTGTGGTGATAAAATGGCACCCACCCAAACATCCCTGAACATGTTTTAAAAACCTACCCATACAATGTGCTACAGTACAACCAGTTGGGCAACATTTGATTCTATGCTGGATTTTTTTTCCTTACCACATTTCCCACAGATTGGAAGAATTCAAATTAAAGGGGGGTAAAGTGCAGTTTGCCACTTGAATGAGGACAATCTCATTTGGAGAATCCTTAAAAAATGCAAATATTGGATAGCTCAAATCCACTTTAAAATGCCTTGTGTACATAGCCTGTGTGTGTATCTTTATGCATGTGGGGCTGAGTGCAGGAGAAGGAGGCTTTGTGATATGATCGACAGACAGACAGACCTTCTGAGTGGACAAAAGCTGTGCGTGTATATGTGTGTGTGTGTGAGAGAGAGAGAGAGAGTGAGTGAGTGGAAAAGGTGAGCTTAGCCTCACCCCCCCCCCCTTGGCACATGGCATCTGACCCACCCCTGCAGGCTCTGCTTGGGATGACTGGTCTATTAAAGGACATTGAACTAAATATCCTTTTCCTAATTTTGTATAAGAGTTCATACGTACTTGAAACCAAGGAGAATCAGTTTTAAATTATGAGACAACCATCTGAAGTGGAAATAATTATGAAGGAAGAGAATGGAAACTGTGGAGATCAGCTTGGGATAGAAATATTATGCAGTTTATTCAACGTTTACTCTGTCTTTCTCAAACAGAAAGATAAACAATTTTCTTGCCATTTACTTGCCTGCTTCTCAAGCCGCACACATAGTCATCCTTGACCACAGATCTTCCAAATATTACAGTGCTGACATGATCACTGTCACTTGTGGGTGGTGTCTGACGGGTGATGGAAAACCAAATACTTTGGATCTTCAGAACCACAAAGTTTATTGCTTCTGCTTCATCAGAATGTTGTTCATAAGTAGGTTGTTTCATTGAGTTATAAGTAGAGATTATTAGGGCTCTCCATAAATTGATGAAAATAAACATCATTGTAAACATACATGAAGCCTGAAAAAATATCCCTAGCCACAGGTTGGATGAAAAACTAGCTAGTTTAACTGCTCCAAAACAATATGAAACTACAGTCTGGAGGGAAAGAATCCAAGTATGAAAACTCCACTCACTTTGGCCAAATGTTAGGTACCCAAATGATGTGAATACAGAAAAGTATACGGCCGCAAACAGAGTCAAATTAACAAACTCAGGAAAAGCTACTGACATTGTTTTTTCTGCAAGGCGCACATTGTACAAGAATCTGAAATATCGGTATGGTTTCAAAATCAGAAGGAAGACCAAAAAACCTGAAATCATCATGTAGAGTTGATCGATTTGGGAAACTACATGGAAGGGAACAAATTGTTCTGGATTAAGTAGATGAAATTCCAACAATGTAAATGCCAGCTTAAATTTCAGTGCAATTAACAACAGAAAAAACATAGAGGTTGTCTTTATTGCGAAGTTATTTACGTTAGTTGCTGTTTGAAGATAACCTATCCTTTCTTGACGTAACATGTTAAATTCATCAGCAAGATAAAAGGCAAGAATATACACTATAACTCCATACACAACCCTCTTAGAGGTGGGTTCATACTGGAAAATAGAGAGTTTGTAAGAATGAACTACCAAACTTGAATTAACGACACCTACATCAGTAGTCTCAAATACGATAGAAATGCTGCAGAATAGATCCACATCTGGATTAAAAGTTGTTAACTCAAAAATCACTGCCCAGGTCCGATTATCAA